GGTCAATGTAATTTACTTTTTTTTAATGAAAAATGTCAAGATTCATAATATATGTCCCATCATTTACCTACAATTATATGGAAAAAGAGCTAGGACAATTGATACAATTGTGAAACTTAAGAAAAATGATAGGGACTCTAAATATTTTATCAAATGTTTTATATGGGTGTGAGACTCACACTATGTGGGTTTTATGTAGATTCCACACTAGAGCTACAAATGAATAGAATCATTCGTGAATATGCTCGAGCTCGGCTCAATAAGAGCTCGTTCTAACTTAGTTTATTAAATATTTTTTGTATTTAAGCTTGAGCTCGTTAAATTTTTATTAAACAAGCCCAAACATTTTAAGGCCCCGCTTGTTTTCAGAGATAGAATGGAGGAGATTCATAGTGAGGGAATTAATAGTGAGGGGATTGTTAGTGAGGCGATTAATAGTGAGGAATTGTTAAATTATTTTTATATAAAATATAAAAAATTAAACATTATGTTTAAAAAAAAATCCCAATATATAAAAAATAAAATAAATAAAAAAAATTCTAATCCCCTCGCTACTTTTCTAATACCATCTCTATTTCCTCCTTACCAATCCCCCTTCCTCTTCTGTACTAATACCAAGGGATTACTATTCCCCTCCATATCTCTCAAAACAAACACTTCATTCTCAATCCCCTCCTCACTACCAAACCCAATCCTCTCCCTATAACCCCAAACAAACGGGGCCTAAAGCTCGACTCGTTAGCTGGTTCGTTTAATATTTATTATTTATATATTAAATAATATAAAAATGTGTATAAAAAATAAGATAAATATGTTATTTATATATTTAAAAAATATAAATATAAATAGTAGTTAATTATAGATAGTACATTTATATAATAGTGGTAGTAGATATTATTATTTTAATAAAATATTATTTTTTTTTAGAATATTTATATATATATATTGTATATATAACTGTATAATCAAAATTTTAATTATAATTTTAGTCTCATACACAAATATGAATTTATAAATTTTTTAGCTCGTTACGGCTCATAAACAGGTTCGAGCTCAAGTCAAACTTAAGCCAACTCAGGTCGAGCTCGTTTCATTACATTTTTATTGAGCTCGAGTTCAAGCTCGAATTCGTTAAAATCTTAATAAATAAGTCTAAACATACTGAGAGTTGTTTGAAATGATCTAAATAAGTGTACTTTTTATTTTTTTACAAAAAGATGTGTAGAAAAATAAAGAGGTGATGTGATAAAAAAAAGATAAAAAGATAAATTATTTAAGAAATACCAAATCACCCCTAAAACTCAATTTGACTCATTTACAATTCTACCAACACTCATAAAAAATATTTAATAAAACATTTGGTAAAACATTTAAAATTTCTAACTTTATTCGAAACGTAACAAATCTTTTTTGAAACTTAACACTAGTAACCGCCACGTCATGTTCTTCAAATTTTAGAGCTAAATAAAAGTACTCAAATTGTGGGCCCTTTCTATCACAATTGCTCCTCCCTGCTGTTCTCATTCCCTCTTAATATTCAAATATGACGAGTATTGATTGGTCCTCCCCAAATTTACTCAATTCAAACATAAACATTGTTTAGTAGAGCTGTGGGAAAGTGCTTATAGCTTATGCCTAAACAGCTTATAACTTATAACTTTCAGCTTAAGCTGATTTTCAGCTTATTCTTAAAGCATCTCCTGCCCCACTTAAAGAATAAGCTGTTTTCTGACTTCCACAAAGCTATAAGCTATAAGCTAAACCAAACACATCAAAATAGCTTAAATTAAGCTGAAAGCTGAAATAAGCTGAAATTAAGCTGTACCAAACAGGGCCATAGTGCAAGATGGTGTTCCAAAAAAAAATAATTTTTTTTTTAAAAAAATACTACAAGATTTTACAATTAGTAGGCTTGAAATTATATTCAGTGTGTTTAGTTCAATTTTTTAAATTTAATTTGTTAAAAATTAAATTTTTTATTTTTTGTATTTTTAAGTGAATATTTTTAAAATTTTAAGTAATTTTTTTTTTTACTTTTTTAGATATACTTTACTTAGATATATCTAGTAAAATATTTGTGAAAAAATATTTTAAAAAATTAATAAATACACAAAAACACTAAAAATGTACTGATTTTTTTTTTTAAAAAAAAATTTAGGTGTATTTATGTTCGGTGTGCCTAATTTTTTTTAAAAATTACTTAAAATATTAAAAAAAATTCAATGAAAACAAAAAAATGAAAAAGTAAAATTTTCTAAATAGTGAATTCTGAAAATAAAAACCAAATAGAGTGATTAACCTCATCAAGTTTTTTTATTGGTGAAAGGATTGGATGTGAAACAGGTCGGATCCAACCCTCGGGCTGGTCCAACTCTCTAAGCCCAAATCCAAGTGGGTCAGATGAACATGTGGGCAAGCCAATTAAGTCCAACTCCATGATTAACAGTCCACCCAAGTCCTCAAGCACTTAGGCCCAACTCGTAATAGAAAGATCAGTCCAACCACAATACTGGGCTGGGTCAAGCTGCAGAACTTAATCTATGAACCAAACTGATCGGCTGAACCCACCATTAGAACCAAAGTGGGTCGAGCCCATACAAAGATATCCGAATGGGCCAGTCTATCTCTACAAATAGTCCCACAAAAGGCTGAACCGAGGCACAACGATACCGAGTTAAGGGAACTTCTCAGAGAAACGTAGAAGCTATAAATGCATGTATGTGCAGAATGTCACCTCAGCTTGTCCCTTCTTCCTAGAATCGAGGAAACAGTTGATCAGGGGAGTGCAATCTGTTATAAGCATGATTACAATGAGTATATGCATCCATTGTCAACTACCCGATGGTCCCCTACTTTGAGCATTGTTAAAGGGATCCTTGCAGCACCAAAGGTTGATGAAACCACCTTGGGTAACAAGTAAGGCGTTCTATATAAACTCCACTCTCTTCACATTAAAGGTAACTAAGTTATGAACTATACTCACTTAAACACAATTGAATTCACTAGAGACTTTCCTCTCTCTGCACTTAGGCCTCGTTTGGGGACTGACTATTTTAGTCAAAAAGTCAAAAAGCCAACTAAAACTAGTCACATCACCTTTCTACTTGTTTGCACATCTTTTCGTAAAAAGTCAAAAAGTTACTAAAATAGCCTGTTCCCAAACGAGGCCTTAGAGAGAGTTCCTCATCTTCTTCGTCCACTTACTCCCACACTGGAGGGGTTATTTGGCAAACCCCGGCCGGGTAGCTCTAACGGTTCTCTCTGTTGTAGGGACTCAATTCCTAAATAGACCAATCGGGTGTGGAGCTCCGGTCCATAATCATCTAGTACGGTATTCGGTACGTACAATTGGTTAATTGTTATTGCATGACATTTGATAATTGATTACCACATCTCCATCATCTCTTCCTTTGCCAACCACCTCTCTTGTGCATTTGACTTACCATGGTGGTTTTAGGCTTCTTAAGGGTGGTGATTTTGTCAAGTGTTTGTTGATCTAGTGGTTTTGTGATGATGTTGTAGATGTGGGGTTGTAGTGTTGTGCATGGGCAACAATGGTAAGAAATTTGTAAAGGGTGGGTGGTGTTATAGCAACCATGGTAAAGGGTTCAAGGTGGAAGAGTTTCAAATAATCGAGTTACAAGCCACTGAGGGGGGAATGAGTGACAAGAATATATAGTGTTGTTTTAGGAGAGGAGTAAGGGTAGGGTTGACGAAAGTGAATGATGGTGGTTGATTTTGATGTGGCTAGTTTTTAAAAGTTGATTTTGTTGTGGTGGTTGGTTTTGGGGGATTTGTGATGTTTGGAAATTTTATTTGTCAATGAATTGTTTTTCACATTTTGTTGTGGAAGTTGTCTCATGTCACGTGTCATTTTCTATTACTGCTATTTTAATAGATGTTAAAAGTTTGACTAAAGTTAAAAATGACGAATAATTAAAGGTCTAAATGTAACAGAATATTTTTTTAAAAACCAAAGTGAAAAATAGACTTGGGAATTATTTGGGAATTGCTTATATTTGCATATTGGCTTATTTTGTTGTTTTTTTCAAATAGTGTTTGAGATGTGCTTATTTTTGTTATTATTATTATTATTGTTATTTTTTTTGCCAAATAATATAGTATGTTGTTGTCTCATCAAACGATTGATAGGCCATTTCTCAATTTTATCCTTTCTGCCATGCGACTAATCATTATGCTTGGTTACCACTTTTCAAAAACACTTTTTAAAAAAATTTTACTTTTTTATTTTACTTTTTTTTTTTGTTTTTACTAAATTTTTTTAATATTTTGAGCAATTTTTAGACATACCTAACATAAATATACCTAAAAAGTAAAAAAAAAAGCAATTTTTAGACATACCTAACATAAATATACCTAAAAAGTAAAAAAAAAATTGAAAAAAACCTTTTAAAAATTCACCAAAACCAAAAATACAAAAAAAATACGAGAATTCAGTATATTTTTTGTATTTTTATGTATTTATTAATTTTTAAAAATATTTTTTCACAAATTTTTTACTTTTTAGATACATCTAAGTAAGGTACATCTAAAAAGATAAAAAAATATTTAAAATTTTAAAAATATTCACTAAAAACAAAAAAACACAAAAATCAAAAAACTTAATTCAAAAAATTCAAACCAAACACACTAATTATTTTTTTTTTGTTTTTTTTTTTTGGTTCATCGCAAAAGCAATTTTAGACTTTTTTTTGACTTTTGAAAAAACAACAAAAAAACTACTTATTTTGAGGGTTCCCAAACACCCACTTCAACTTACTATATAAACAAAATAAATGGGAAAAGAACATTAATATGAGCACATATAACATGGACTAGAGGTAGAGCAACTAGCAAGGGCTGAGACTACAAAATATGCATGGAATCTTTGGATCCTTAATCCAATCCTGCCACACCCTCACGCCATACCCACCAGTGGATCATCATTATATGTTTCCCCCAATTCCAAACTACTACCAAAACCATATAAAGTGAATTTGATGTGTACCCAACTCCACATTACACTAAAGTCCCTCAAAAGTTCAGCCCATAACATCAAACAACTTGATCAAATCCTCACCCAAACCATCACAACTGGTCTCCTCCACACCACCCCCACATGGAATTGCATTCTCAGAGCCTATTCCAAAAGCCCCAAACCCATCAAAGCCGTTCTCATTTACAACCACTCCATTCAATCAAACTTTATCATCCGTGATAACTTCACTTTCCCAAGCCTATTGAAGGCTTGTACAAGCCTAAATTCATTTCCTAAAGGAAAGGAATTGCATGCTCATATCCTAAAAGTAGGACTAGATTGTGATGTTTATGTGCAGAATTCTCTTATTCACTTTTATGGGTCCACTGGCTGTATTGATGATGCTAGGTTTGTGTTTGATAAAATGTCTCAGAGAGACATAACAAGTTGGAATTCACTTCTGGGTGCCTATAATTCCAATTCTGTATTGAGGATTGAAGCATTGGTTTTGTTTAAAGAAATGATCTGTGATGGCGTTGGAGTTGATGCAATCACGTTGGTGATTATATTGTCAGCTCTTGCAGAAGTAAGATGGGTTGAGTATGGAAGTGCAGTCCACGGTTACATGATAAAAGTTGGGTTTTTTAGTAAATTGAATTTGGAGAATGCACTTCTGGGTATGTATGTGAAATTTGGGAAGATGAATGCAGCAATGAGATTATTTGATGAGATGAGCGGTAGGAGAGATGTAGTGTCTTATACTATTTTGATCAATGGGTATGTTGACATGGGTTTTGTTGATTTCGCTCGTGATATTTTTGATCAGATGGTTGACAAAGATGTAGTTTTGTGGAACTCAATGATTCATGGTTATGTTGAGTCAAAGCGTCCAAGTGAGGCTTTAGAACTTTTCAAGAAAATGGAGAATGAGACGGTTAAACCAGATGAAACCACTCTAGTTAGTGTTCTTGTTGCTTGTGCTAGCTTATCGAACCTACAATATGGTAGACTTGTTCATCGTTTGATCCTCAGAAATGACATGAGACATGATGTTTTCATCGGGACAGCTCTAATTGACATGTACTGTAAGTGTGGAAGTTTGGACGAAGCCATGGTTACTTTCTACAAAATGGTGGATAGGGATGTTTTTACTTGGACAACTGCGATTGAAGGACTTGCAAATTACGGGTGCGTGAATGAAGCGTTGAAATTGTTCAATCAGATGGAAAAGCATGGAATTAATCCTAATGAGGTGACATTTGTTTCTGTGTTAACAGCATGTAGACAATTAGGGCTAGTCAATGAAGGTTGTTTCTTGTTCAATAAGATGGTGAAAATTTACAATATTCAACCAAAGGCTGAGCACTTTGGCTGTCTAGTTGATCTCTTGAGCAGGGCCGGTATGGTACACCAGGCAGAGGAATTCATTAATACCATGCCTCCCGGGGAGAGACTCATAGCTTACAAAACCCTACTTAGTGCCTGCATTAGTTACTCAAAAATCAATCTTGGATTGGAAGTTGCTGATGAACTGATTAGGTTGGGTTCAGAGAATCTTGCAGTTTGTATATTGCTGTCAAACTTATATGCACTAGCGGGAAAATGGTCTAAAGTTGAACAAATAAGAAGAAAAATGAAAAAAATTGGTATGGTGAAAGAGCCGGGCATCAGCTCCATAGAAGTGAAAACCTAATTTTGAGGACGTATAAGACATTGGATGAGGAAGAAAATTGACAACTTTTGGGAAGTTTGATTTTAGGAATTATGACAATATAAAAATATTAATTTAGAATTTAATTATTGTATTGTTTTATTTTGTTAACGTTTAATTGTGACCTTGGATGTTTATATAAACAGGTTGTTATATATTAGGGTTTTTCCGATTGAATATTGAATACGATTTAATTGATTGAGAGATTTTGGCTTTGTTTAGGGTTTTCTTTTGTTCTTTAGTTTTTGTGTTTATTTCCACTGGCTGGCCGGCATCACCAAATGGAAATGTCTGGCAGAAAAAGGATTAAAATCTAAGTAATCAAATGGGCGAAGAACAGATAAAATCTATTCTAAACATATAAAATCGAAAATAGTGCCACATGATTTCGAATAGAGTCAAATAGAGGAAATAGATCCATGTAGCTGACTCCAAATAATTGAGACAAAGGCTTGTTGAGTTTGAGTGCCAATGTGCTCGGAGCTATTACTCCATTTCATGTCTTGTTGAGCTTCAAGCTGTCATGAATTTGTATTTTCACAAAACAAGATTGTCCATTTGACACTGTAGAAACCTAAAATAAAAGGTCACTTCCTTGTCAACAATATGAACAACGCTGAAGCTAAAACTTAGATTTTGATCAGAATCATGTGTTTGGTTGTGGTCAATAAACCATTTTAAGGTGTCAAATTTATATCAGAATAGATCACAGTTTACCTACCATGAATTTCAAGAAATTATAACTGATTCTGCTGAATTTCATTTCTTTTGAGAAAAATAGCTAGAAAATGGAACGGAAAAAACCAGATAGAGAGAAGAAAACAATCTTAAAACAGCAACTCCACACAGAACCCTTTTTTTTTTTTTATATTAATCTTTTTGGGAAATAAGAATAAAAATTTCGAAACAGCAACAATTTCATTTTTGCATGAAAACTACTTTTCAAATTTTAAAAATAACTTTTTGGTGTTTCCTAAAATGTGCCATGTTTTCAAAAAAATTCATGAAAATTATTTAAGGAAACACAGCTCACAAAAGTTTTTATGCGTTTTTCAGAATTTGAAAACATCAAAAAAATTAAAATAAATAATACCTAACAAGCCAAAGTTCTAAGCCTACATGGAGGATCATAAAGAACTCTGAATTCAAATCAAGAACTGAATTATGAGTTTGAAAGATATGTGGTGAATACAGTTGAGGTGTCAAAATTCTATTGTCTTAGAATAAAACACTGCTGACCTACCAAGCATTTCCAAAATAAAAAATAAAAAATAACAGAACCCACTTATCACCAACTTGTATCCTCTGAATGTTATAGCACAGTTTTTCTTCTCCGGGCTCTGAATTTCAAAAATGATGTCTATGACAAGAAGCTTTATTTACGCAAGTTTGAGAAAACATAAGAAAATGGAAGGAAAGAAAGGAATCTCACAACTGCAACTCCACCTTGAACCTATGATGAGTTTCACAAGGTGCTACAAGTTTTCAAATAACCATTTTGCTTTTCCTACTTTCAACCGGCAATCAAACAATTTAGGGGATAAATCGACCTTCTCTTATATTAGACTAACCAGCAATGACAATTAATTTAAACTAGAGAACATTTGAACAATGTTGCAACAACCAATGGAGCTTGGGACAAATTTGTTAATGAATTCATTTGAATATGAAGCACTTTGATAAGGCAAGCAAATAAAATATGCACAGTAGCAGATAATAGATGCACTATACAACATTTTGATGCCAAAGAGATCAAAGAAGTATCATAAATGGTAACTTGTATCTGTTAATTTACAGTTCGTAGTACAACCCACTCATGTTGGGTTGCCAACCAGTGGTTGAAGCTTCTACCATAGTAAGCTCTCATCTCATACAACAAATTGAGGCTTAAAAGAAAAAAAATTCACAGAAGCAAACAGCACCATGAACATAAGGGATCGAAAGGTGTCTACAAACATATATCAATCAGCAGAGGAACCTTTTATAAATTTCTTTATAGTCGCAACCGATTTCAGCAGCACATACCATGACAAGGCAAGTGCAAATGCCAAAACCCGACCTCCAACAAGTCCAACAAGAACGATCACAACCAGAAAGAGATACCCTGAATTCCTCTCTATTTTCGTTCCAATCTTTTCCTTTACTATGCTATCTTCGATTTCAGACTGAGAAATTTCAGTGGAACTCTGCATTTCATCTATTTGATCACCATTCACTCTACTTGATAATCCACTCGATAATGACCATGATTTCTCATCATATTCCAATCCACTTTGCTCCCCATCTTCTATATGTTCTTTATCTTCAACGAAAACTAGTTCTTCACTCTTCAAATTCAATTTTGTCTTCTTTGAACTACGAAACTTCTTTGGGACAAGTTTCTTGATCTTCGACGTTAGCCTACCACTACGAGTTCTTTGGCCTTTAAGATCCACAACAACATCACTAACACATGCCTCTCCTTTCTCCATAACCTCGTTTTTGCCCATTTCTTCACATACCCATTTTTCCTTGCTACTGCGCGAACCAAACGCGTATTTCGCACTTTGAATCTCGCTCAAATTGGCACTAGGTTCCTCAATTTGAATTTCTTGATTGGGACCTCCTCCAATCTTGTGATTCTCAATCAACCCAAAACAATCCGCAACAACAGGTGCTGACCCTTTTTGTGCCTTCAAACCCTTTTCTTTGTTTACCATCTTGTCCCTTTTGATCCCAACAAAACACAAACCCCTTTGAACCAAAAATTGCAATGACAACTGTGCATTGGCGCACGGTCTAAACAACCGACAGCAATGCTTCCCTGCATATTCCATGAAAAATAGCAAGAAAGCTGACATTGTTATCCCAACAACAAATTTCTTTGTGCACAAAGCCAAAACTACCACCAAAAACATCTTCGAAATCGCGACAAAAACCCGATTCGCATCCACAACATTACCACCGCTTGAATCCTTACAATCACCCACCACAAAACTGTCCTGAATCGCATCAATCTGGTTACCCGATGAGGAACTCCGTGCAGGACTCGGATGCCCAGAGGCCAAACCACAAACACTCGGCGGACACAACCCAGAATTCGGCGATCGCAAACTCGAAGGCGTGGAATTTGATGAAACAAGCGGCGAATTGGGTCTGGGATGCGAGTTTGGAGTGCTCAGAGTGGTAGAACTCGGCGAAGAGGAACGATCAGGGATGGGAATTGGATCAGGAATCGACTCGAATCTCTTCTTTTTCGACGATTTCTTAGAGGGTTTCTTCAATCGATCTCGATTCTTGACGAACAGATCGACGAGAGAGGTCGGAAAACCAGTTTCCACCACCAAAGATCCGCCATGTTTCGGCGACTGGATGTGATCCGCCACCAATTGGGTGATTCGATTCCCCTTCGCTTTCTTCCACACAGGCATGATTCTTGCTTCTTCTTCTTCTTCTTCTTTCTCACACTCTCAATTCAAGAAAAAACCAAAAGGGTTATCTTCAATCGTAAAGAATTTCAAGAACAACATGTAAATACACAAAACCCAGCAAAAATAGAAAAAAAAAATTTTGAATGTTGGAAGGAGAGTATTAAAGAATTGAAGGGATCAATGTAAAGATTTATGGGTTCACTGGGAAAACTGAAATTCTAGAAAGAAAAAGAAAGATGGGTTATATTATATGAATTTTCAGACCCATCATTTGGGGTTATACAAGAAATTCATCTTTATACTATGAGAATTGAAAGAAGACACAGAATGTGAATTGGGAAGGTCAGTGGAAATAGCGGAGGCATGGGGAGCGCGTGAGCTTCAATTATGAGGATCAGAGAGAATCATCGCTTTCTAACTATTTTCTCGAGAAAGTGACATCTGTAAATGCATTTGCTGTTTTCTTTTTTTCGATTTTTTTTTAAATAATGTTAAAAGATCTAAATAATTTATTAAATATTTTATTAAATTTGTGTAAAATTTGTGAGAGATTTGATAAAATATTTAATAAGTTATTTAAGATTCATAATGTTTTTTATTTTTCTCAATTTCCAATGTTTCTCAATATTTTTGTAAAATTAACTGTGAAAAAGATAAAAAGGAGTAGCTACAACTACTTTCTTTGAAATATTTGGCAATAATAAAAAATTTAAGTCGATTTTTTCTTATTTTACCTCGCAATATACATAGAGCTTTCCTCCTGTTAAAAATAATTTTTTAATAGAATGTACTAAAATTAGCTAGAATATACTAAAATTAGCAAATATCAAAATCACGCATAATTTTTCTTTTTTGTCCTTCTGTCTGTCTCCATCCTTTTAACAAACACCAATGACAGAGATTATTAATTTTAGAGCTCTAAAAATATCACTAATGACATGACATTTAATAAAAAAAAATATAATATCAAAACCAAAACATCAAATTATTTATGATAAAACCTACTACCACATCATTAATAACAACATTAATTAATACTCTCACTCATTTTGTTTTTACAAACCACGTCCATCGTAAATACGTGCCACTGCACACAACCACCACCAGACATCCACTTCACTGGCGTCGGCACTTTATATTAATATAATTAATATAAATAGGCGCATTCATAGATTCAGATTAATTTTGCCAACCCTAGGTGGATTGGGTGTAGTTCTTGGATTTTTTTTTTTCAAAATTCTAGTCAAAGGCCAAATATTCTTTATTTCTTTGTCACATTATATTTTAGGACAAATTACATGTATCCTTTTGAGATTTAACAAAATTATTAATATTCTCCTAAATTTTGAGAAATTACAGATATCCCCTAAAGGTACTATTTACATAACAAATTAGGAAGTAAATTGTTATGAAAATATAAACCTCAGAGGGTATCTGTAATTTAGCTAAACTTAGAGGGAGGTATATATAATTTGCCCTATATTTTAATAATTAAATTATTTAGAAATTTTAAGACACTTAAATCTCAAGACATAAAGTGTATTAAGACAACAAAATAGAGAAATTAAGAAACTCCAAATTCAAAAAATTGGTCCAATTAAACAAAAATAAATTATAAGTTGTTGTGTTGTTTGGTTACATTTATAAGTTTTTTATTTTTCATTTACATAAAATATTAAATATATTTATGTTTATTTTTTTTTATAAAAATATAGAGAGAGAAAAAAAAAAGAGAAGAGGTTTGATACACATGTTTTCAAAAAAAATTTTTTCCCTCAATACTTGAGAGAGGGGTTAGTTGTAGATGAATGGCAATAGTTATTGTGGATGTTGATTTTTGACCACACAAGCAAAAAGGAAAACTCAATAGGAGAGCACCGACAGAATAGATTAGCCCAAACAACCTGTCACAGAAAAATAAGAATCCAGTGGTGGTTTGTCCACCCGGGAGTTCTCCGACGATCAAGTCAGTATATCTCTCAAAGATAACAAATAGTGCTTAACTTACTGGCCAGAATAATCAAAAGCATACCTCAGACCCACGAGGGTGCTCTGCTTTTATAGCTAGCATTAACCTGATCTTTGTAGAAGGCTAGCTTCAATGGACTTTAGCTCAGTGCTCATCTGAGACTCTCAACTAGATAGAGATAAACTCTTTAAGATTTTTATCTTTATCCAGACTAAGGTCCTCCCCAATTCTAGGACTCATGTCCCTTATCCATTTATTTCAGATTTTGATATCTCCGCAGATAACCTCGGCCTAGCCGAGATCATCTCAGCACATGACCAAGCCACGTGGCACCTCGGCTGACATGTCGACATCACCTTGGCCACGTGCTGCCATTCACGAAATATGCTCCTACAACTACCTCCTAGGTTTTATTACCTCGACAACCTGAGGTGATAGAACCTACTCCGTTTGTCCAGATTTTATGTTGATTAAGAATTCGAGATCATGTCTCGTTAGCTTCATATAACCAGGACTCAGTTGTCCATCTTTATCAATGGCTAAGAACCAAGAACCAAGCTCTTTAAGTTCCTTAACCGAGATCGTTCCCTTAGCCAAGGTTATTGCCTCATTAAATCAAGAACTCCAAGAGTTTTGTCTGTGCATGAGCCGTCACATACGGTTTTCTCAGCCGTTTCTGCCACGCATACTTCTCTTATTGAGTAGTACCTTACACGCGCCATCAGGTCGTGTCACGTCTGCGCACGCCGCTTGACAGACACATCATCCAAGGCTTTCCCTTATGGTTTGCACCCTTTCAAATTTAAACAAAACACTTTCTCTTTCTCCGTCTTTTCACTTCACATCTTTGATTTCCCTCTGCGCTCAAGATCTTCTCTCTCTAACGAATCCCCAACCTCCATTACTGTTCTTTTGAGCTCTCTACAATTGTGCTCGATTCACCTCCTCCGGCGAAGCATTTACTGTTCTGCTTTTCTCGTTGTCACCGTCTGACTCCAGCGAACCTCAAACCGGTGTGCTCGACCTCAGACTCAACTGGTGAGTTCTTAGTTTCTTTCTATTTGCAATTTCAGCCCTCTATGATTTTGAATATGTTCCTTATTTACCATTTATTTATTCTGTTGCTATTGAATCTGTTTTCATGATTGCACTCTGTTTTTCTTCCTTTGATTACGAATCAATTTCCGGTTCTTGAATCTTGAATTTGTGTAGTCTTTTGAAAATGCCAATCATGTTTTCTTGTTGTGGCTTTTGCATACTGTCTCTCACATACTCACTCAGTGTTCATGAGTTTGTACTCTTCATGTCTCTTGAATGTTGCTTTCCTGATTCTGATTCGCGCTCCTTTTTGCTTTGTCTTGCTTTGTCTTCAGATTCTTGCCTTTGATTCCTTAATTTAGTAAAGATTTAGGTCTTGGGATTTGATAGAAGTCACAATCTTTAGGAAAATTGAAACGAATTCCCTCTAGATCTTGAAAAACCCTCGTTCCAACGTCAGTCTAGTTTTCAGCAGAGGTTTCCAAACCCATACCAAACATTCTTCTCTAAAATTTTGCATCATAAGCTGACATCATGGGAATGTTTAAGTAGAGAGTTAACACCCCAGAAAAACTTGAATATTTTAGAAGAGAGTTCTCTATCCTTACCGACGTCCAACTCTAGTTGGCTGGGAAGGAAGACTCTATTATGCCTAGTGAGGACTCCATGCCCTTCCTAGTAGTTGCTTTCATAGAGTGTGGACTTAGATTCCCTCTAGACATTCTTTTTCGAGAAATCCTTCATTATTACAAGCTCAACCCAATGCAACTGGCCATAAACTCATATCGGGTTATCAATGGCATAATTGAGCTAGCACACTGAGAAAAAGCTAGGATCACTTTAGTCGACATCCAATTTTGATATACCATGTGTGGCCTCAAGTCCGAAAAAGGCTACATATACTACCTGAAGCCCAGATCCATTGCCTACAAATTAATAGCCAACGTCTCAGACTCTAACAAGGTTGCTGGAGATGATTACTTTATCGTCTTAGGCAACTGGGAATTTGCACATGACGACGACCTCCATCTCTATCTTCCGCACCGATCGGTGTTTAAAGAGGGTGATGGTAAGAGCTAAGTTACCTTTCTAATCATATTTCGACTAGGATTTGTCGGTTTATATCTATTTTTTTGTAATGTTCTTATCCTCACTTCTTTTTGCAGTGCTTCCCCAGCCAGCAAAGGACTTTTGACAGACCTCCTTCCCCAGTCCTGATCTGAAAAGGCTCTTAGGTTTGGATATCAACAAGCGCAAAACCCCTTTGTTGCTTAATTACATCCCTACCTATAAGTTTGTATTGCCGGACGTCTCACGTCGGAGTAGGGCTCCCCGCTCAATAATAACTCCAACAGTTGCTTCCTCACCAAGGCCAGACTAAAGCATCAACGTCTGCCCCCCAACTTATCTCGACATCACAGCGTCGACGCTGACATCGAACTCTACCAAACGTACTAGCATGCAGAACTCGTAGCCGCAAACATTAAGGTTCTGAGGCATCGGTTCACGATCCAACCAATCCTCTCATTGCACTTCCTGCCATTCACTTCGGCACAAAGTTTACACTTGCTACCACTGCCGACAAAATGGGTAAAAAACTAGCCGTCGTTGTGGACCTTCTAGCCAACATTCTGGGGTCGTGACGGTGCAGTCCTCCTCTTCCTTATCTCAGTCAAAGCCGAAGTCAAAAAGAATGAAGAAGGCCAAGGCTAAGGCCACAGTGACTCAGATTGACTCTGAGGACACTGTGCTAATCTCAAAACTAGCCAAGGTTGAGAAGAATACTACTGTTGCCAAAAAGAGGCCATTTGAGAAGGCGACACCAGACGTCCCCCCATCGAAGAAGTCGAGGTTAGATTTCCTAGAGGGTAATAGAAGTTTCCCTCGCAACATGACTTGGGCACCCGAAGTCATGGTAGGGAACAAACCTCTAACAGCCGGCGACAGCGCAATCAATGACGTTGAGGTCGGCGCCGCTTTATCGACGGTCGTCCTCCTACCCAAGGACATGAATCATATGGCCGACCTCCATGAATACTAGAACTTTGGATGATGCAGCACTTAGTCTTGGTAAGTCGCCTTCTTTATATTTTGAAGTTTTTTCAATACTTAGTCACATTTTACTAATCTGTTGCAATCCTTGCAGGCCATCCAACATGCGCATTCATATGCGGTCAAGACAGAGATGACACGGAAGAAGTTGGCAAGAAACACCAAGGAAGCTGCCAAACTCCTCTCCTCACTCAATCATGCCGAAGCCAACAATCGAGCTCTATTGGATCAGGCTAAGGCTGCCAAAGCTGCTCAGAATCAAGCCGAGGAAAAAGC